CTTGTGACGTCGTGATAATTTCGAAAGAGAGAGAGAGAGAGAGAGAGACTCGTTAAAAGCGTCGCTGTGTTTTAACTCATTAACCCGAATGTAATAGCGTTCACTGAAGCACTTTAGTTCCAATAGAAAAAAAGAAAATGCGAATATACAAGTCGAGGAAGATGCACGACGTAGTCGAGGGAAAGAGAAAGAGAAAAACAGAGAGCGAGAGAGAGAGAGAGAGAGAGAGGGAAATCGTATCGCGGCGAGGAAAGCTCGGGATCTCGGCCGACACTCGATATCTCGCCCAGCTGTGCAGCAAACGGATTTTTACGTTGCTGCCTCGTGTAAAGAGAGAAGCGCTAAACGACGAGCGCTCGAAATTCACGCTCGTTACGCGTCTCGCCGCCTGTTTCAAGCAGCAGCTCCCAAACGCTCCGCGAATGAGAGTAACAATAAACGGCATGTAGCGCATGTAATACGTACGTACTAATGCTCGCGTCGGACGCGCAAGAATGGCACATGCTAATGACAGCTAACATCGATCGAAACGCTGAATCTGATTTCGATCGGGAAAAGTCGCGAGTGTTCGGACGTAAGATCGACGGAGATCGACGGAACTCTCCCGCCGAGAGAGAGAGAGAGAGAGAGAGAGAGAGAGAGAGAGAGAGAAAGGAAGAGAGGGGGGAAAGTTGGCCTTCCTTTTCTATCAAGGAAGACATCATCAAAAGTCGTTGCGAGTACTATCGGTATAATTAAATCAATCGAGAACAAATCCCATTCGCTGATTAATAAGCCTGTCAGACGTATCCCATGTGAGAAACCGGCGCGCGTGCGCGCGCGCAACGATCTCCTCGCTTCTCTCCAAACAATCGCGCTCGACAGGACGGGGACAAAACTCACAAAAATAGGAAAACACGAGGTGTAACGGCAAGTACCGTAAAAATGTACTCGCCGTATGTGGAACAGCGCGCGGTTCAGACGGGCGTCCCTGCCCCGACGAGGAGGTGACGCTTCCCCTTGGGAACCCCTGGGAGAGACAGCCGGTGTAGCCGGCGTGTGACGTAGCGCGAAACAGTGTCAGCGAGCGGGGTCGACATGTGGGTAAAACGGTAACCGACCACGGAACAATATTTGCCCGATAACCAGCCTGGAAAACGTTCTCTCCGTGCGTGCTAATGGATTTAGCGGCAGGACCACGTGTCTGCCCTCTCGAACAAGCGTGCGTGCGTGCGTGCGTGCGTGCGTGCTTCACACACCGCCGAAGCTACACCCGGAATCTTTCTGTTTGCCGTGTGTCTCGCTTTCGCCGATGATGCGTTGATCGATGAGATTTTTATTCATACAAGAGCGACCGCGAGGCGACGAGCTGTCCGCCGATCGTTTGTTTCTTCCGCGCGAGCGATCGATCGATCGATCGATCGATCGACTGACTGACTGCCGCGTCTTGAATTTTCTACGCTGACCCGCGCAAGACCGATGACAATCATTTTGTCCGCCCGCAGATTCGTCACGAATATATTTCTCTTTTCCCACACGATCGATCGTAAACACGATTGATTGATGCCAGGTCCGAGGTATATTTGCGCACGCTAAATATTTTGGCTGAGGTATTTAATGACAATGTCAGTTTCACGATTGTGCCGTTATGGGTAGTCCGTGTAGAGGGCTACCGCGAAACAAGCGAAATGACAACAGCAGCAGCGGCATCATCAGCTCGTTCATCATTCTCTGTCACGTGTTAGTTCGCGTGTTACTCGGCCACATCAGTTTGATACCCTGCAAAAAATATGCGAATAGAGACGCGGCCGGAAGTGTCGCTTTGCCGTCTAGCCGATCATTAGTGGCATCAAATTGGCAATGATAAATCACGATAACGGCACTCTCCTCTATCGCGACCCTTTGAGACGATATCGAAACGAGATAGATTAGATATCCGCATGCTCGCTCTCGTTAGGTTTCTGTATCGACTTGGGAATTTAATTAATTTCTTGTATTAGACACATGTAGTTCGAGAATCGACGACTTTGCGTGAGAGGGAGAGGATCGTTTGCGAAACATTCCCCGAAAATTTTACATTTTGTGATAAAAATCTTTTATCTTGGAGGACGATCTCCCAGGTTTAAGATTTAATTAGTCTCGCGCGTGGCTTGTAACAAGAATATTATTATATTATATTATATATTATTATATACGTATATGTGTGTGTGTGTGTGTGTGTGTGTGTGTGTCATGAATATTGTTATTGTCATTGTACAAATTTATGTGTTATATATGCAAATGTAGCGCGGCAATTTATTCATAATCACGCAGATGGCTCAGAACAACATCAGAGATTAATTTAATCTTCAATGAAACTTCATCAAGGACGATTCTCTCCGGATCTCATCAGTCAGATAAAACGCGATCCCGGCAAGTTCTAATACGTGGACAAGATCCAATTTCGCGTAGCCGAGCGTGTAATTGCCAGTGTAAGGAAAAATATCGTGATCGTGAAGAAAAGAATCGCTCGTCACAATTCGATACTTAACACGGCACGGACGTCTCTCCTCAACGTGCGCGGCGCGTATCGCAGACGCGCTTCTTTATCGTCGCTGCTTCGCAGGCTTCACGTAATTTTAGAATCAAGGAAACCGAGCTAATGATACCCGACGATATGTCATTTCTATCTTAGACACTCCCCTACTAATTCGATGTGCCGCGTCGATGTACATTCGTCTAGACGATAAAATTCCGAGTATGCGTCACGTATCGCGATATCTCGCGCGGCATTTCCGTGCCGCGCCGCGCGATCACGCGGCGAAAATTGTAAAATTCTTGCACGAAGAAACGTGACGTACGAGATGTAAGATGAGGAGATAAAGTTAGACAGGTTGACGCGCTGCTGACTTTCGCGCACCATTAAATCATTCTCCGACGGAATTATAAACTCGACGAGAGACACGAAAAATGTAACGACAAGACCGCTCGTCGAATTTCGGAATCTCTCGCGCGCGCGCGACTCGATCTAATGAGCGCAGGATAAAAAGCTAATGCGGTAATTTGGAAACCTGTGACGTTTTTATTGGAACCAGCCTGTGTTACCGTAAAAACGCAGCGACAGGATAAAGACTCTAACTCGATAGGACATAAACGAGCATTGGCGAGTCAGTAGTTTAGATTTAAATTCGCCGGCCGGTTTTGAGCCATTAATGGATTAATTATATATAACGTATTCCCGGAGGCGCGCCATCACGATTGCCACATTCGGATAGATAGATAAAAGCAAGGTGTGCGTAACGATCAACTCTCAGCTTCGTCGCGGATCGTAAGAAATCCTGCCGCTTGACACGTGACTTCGCGCCCGCGAAGTCTCTCTTTCTAGAATTTTCCCTCCGGCTACGTGTACGTGCGCGCGCGCGCAAACGTACACATGCACGTCGAAGCACCGTCGGAAATTATTAAAAGTGAAATATTTTATTGCGCGGAAGCGCTCGCGAAAATTCTCGCCCACGGTCAATCAATTTCTATAGCTCCGTTTCTTAACCTTCTGCATTCTCTTGCGGGAGATATATATCAATCACGAAGACTTCTCGCTTCTCGGATCCTGACTGATTCGTTGATTGATGATTCCACCGCAGCTGTTCCCACATTTTTAGCAACAAAAGCAACGATTACACGAATAATTCGACGAATGGGCGATGAATGGGCTGTCGGTTTCGCGGGCGCGGAAAATCGCGATCTCGCGATCTCGCGATCGCCGTCCGTTCCCTCGACTTCGATGTTCTCTTATTATGCCATACCGACGATTATGAACATAAAGTGCTAACAATTATCCGCTTAACTCACTGACAGCTGACATTAGCACACAAATTCCCGCGCGAAGCGGCCGGTTCTCGCGAGTTGCTTTTGATACTCCCCGTTCTATCTGCCTTCACCTTTCTACGAGGTGATAGGACCACAGCCTGTATACGTCGCTCCAAAGCTGGCTAGAGCTCAAGCTCGTGCTTTTGCATCTCGAAGGACGTTCAATTTGTCTTTTTGACGAGAAAGTCACGTGCGATCGAGAACGTAGACGTGTGCGCGCGCGCGGTAAAACCGTGTGAAGAGAGTAATTTCGTCGAAGAGACGCAGCGAGAGCTACTCTTCTCTCGAGAACTGCGCATCGAGGTGTGCTCGATGCGCCGAAAGCCAGGTACCGCAATTTTCCGACGATTCCAGGCGGAATAAGGATAACGCCACGTTCCCGTGGCACGGTAATCTCTCGAGCAATCCTGTCTCCGAGGGATGCGTGTTCGCGTTTATGGCGTTATAAATGTTCAATGAGATGACCACTGAATCCCCCTGTATCGAAATTGGAACGTTAGAGATACATCGCAGATATATTTCCGCGCTCCTCGTGCCGCAATTAATTTCAACGTCGAGCAGGCCGGCATCTCGGCGACCCAATTGTCCGTACCTCTTCAAAAATCGATCAGAATCAGGTCAAACGCGAGAGCCGCGAATGAACCCCATCCGTCTACATTCTCCGTCATCGAGCTATCCGCGATTCGTTCCCGTCCGCCGATTTTCCAACTCACGGATATCGCGTCGTCGCCGCGTGAGAGGTGAGTCAATAAGCTTCGCGTTCTGATTTCTCGCGATCGCCCGTTCTCGACTCTGCGTTCATCATCGATCCTTATGGCACGCACTGGTGTACCCCGAAACGTCGCGCTCGCCAGACACCTCGAAGAGAAGACGAAGCGCGGTCCCCCCAACAGTATACGCGTATTTCGGCTGATCAAACGAGCCGGAAGAGAATCATCACAGCGATTCCTGGCGTGGCCCACGGCCATTTTACGACAATTAAAAATCCCATCGCTAACGAACGCCGTCGAGATAGTAAACGGTAGTACAGAAATACGTGGATACTTGCATACATGGTGTGAACGAGAGTACACACAAGTGACTCTCATTAAAAGGAAAGAGAAAAAAGAGAGAGAGAGAGAGAGAGAGAGAGAGTGAGAGAGAGAGAGAGAGAGGGATGGAGGGAGGGAGAGACAGAGCAGCGACATGGGAGGAGTTCCCTGCGAGTGCTCTCTCCGTCTGCGGAGAGACCACTCTCGGTGGCAGAGGTGGTCTCTGCTCACCTGAGCGTTTCAGGTGGCAGTCGCCCTGCTGAGTCGCTCAGCGACGGGTTCTCCTCGTGAGCGCCGCGAGCGCGATTCGCCCAGCCTCCTCCGCGCCGTTGCACGGCGAGAGCAGAGAGCAAGACTTTTGCCGTGCGAGAGAGAGAGAGAGAGAGAGAGAAAGAGAGAGAGAAAAAGAGAAAGAAAGAGAGAGAAAAGAGAGGGAGAGACAGAGAGAAAGAGACAGACTTGGACGACTTCCGTGCGAGTCCCTTCGCGCGATGCGAACCGGAAGAATCGTAATTCTTACCTGCGGCAACAGCAACAGCAACAGCAACAACAACAACAACAATAACAACAACAACAACAACAACATCTACCTCCCGAATTCTCCTTCGTAGACCGATAAAGCGGCCGTCGGTCTTTCGAAGACAGATGCGACCGCTTCGAAGACGTTCGATCTCGTCCAATCGTCAAGTCCTATCGCCAGTAGGACGATTTTACTTTGCGAGAGAGAGAAAAGGAAAAAGAGAAAAACCGATCGCGCGATCGAGTTGATCGAGTCGGGTTGTTTTAAACGAGGACTGATCGATAGCTCGGACCGACTCGATCAGGTCGGAGAGATGTTTTCCAGTGGAATGGCGGTAGATTAAAAACAGAGAGATAATTACGGTCTCTTGCCGGCTGAAGAAGAGGAAAATCCTTGGTGAAGCAATCTCGTCCAGTTAATTATTCAGCCCGTTACCAGTGCGTCCGTTCGAAAGGAGCATCCTCTCGACGGCGGTCTCTCTTTCGACGGCGCAAGAATATTTAAGTATCGCTCCGGAGGGGTCTACGTGAATCGATCAATTCTCACGATGAGCGATGCACGCCACGCGACGTGATCGCATGTTGCAACGCAATGAAGAGCAACGCGATCGCCAGTCGTTCCGCCGAAGCGACGCTTTCTGATCGAGAGGTACGATCGGGATTTCGGCGGCGGATCCACGCGCGCAGAAAGTGAGCGTCGCCAGCAATTTGGTGATCCGGCCAATCGGCGACGATCGGCCAGCCGTAGCTGTGTGCACACGAAAAGAAAAACAATCGTCGACGCTTATTAAATGAACCGAGGCGATTTTAACGAGCGATCTATAGACGGACGTGCGTGACCGCTCACGAGCGACGTATAAATTTGTCGTGAAATCGACTCGTCCGACGGCATTCTGGCGGAATTATCGAGGTATCGCGTAATAGCGAGCGACGGTAAATACGGCTGCAAAAGGCGCTCGCGGTCGCGAGCAGCCGCGAGCGCGAAGAAAAAGCCAGTCGAGGGATTCACGACGATAACGATGAAGAAAGTGTCGGCGAATAACGAGAAGATCTTTCCAGAGCAGCGGGAGCATGCACGGCGGGTCGTTTGTTAACGAGCGAAGAAAGACAGTCGACGTCGCCGAGTAGCCCCGAAAGAATCAAAGTATCCGCCACTTGTACGCGAATCTGATCGGACAGGAGACACGATAAGAAACAAGAGCACTAATTAATTTACACAAGATCCAGCGGAACGACTCACGCAGAGTAACTCTGTAGCTCACGCACCCCCGATAGAATGTGAATTAAAAGGGACGGCGAGGAAAACGCGGTCGGTCGTAAATCTCGCGCCGATCAAGGTGACAGCGGAAGCCAACGCTGTTATCGCGGATAATTGTGCCAATAATCACGCGGTAATAATTCAACACCGCGAGACAGGCTCCACACAGGTGTCAGCGATAATCGCGATCGACGGTGGGGTCGATCGGGCCGGTGTATCGATCGATAATATCGTGTTAAAGATCCGCGAGGCGCATCATTGAATTGAACGCGTCGCGGAAAATATTCTTTCTCCCTCTCTTGCCTCTTGCTCCTCGCGAGGATGCGACGAGGTCGCGCTTAAGAATCAACGGTCGCCGGTTCGCCGGTCGGCTAAATGTCACGCGTGAAGTCACGAATCTCGTCGAAGTGTCGCGAAATCGCTTTCGAGTGCCGAGTGTAAACTACTAATGAGCGATCGTTAATCACTCGCATACCACACGCAAGTGGAGCATGATGGGAGAGGTGATTCGTGTTTCCGGGAGGGCGGCGGACGTCGGGGACTTCCTCAAGGAGGCCATGCTGTCACAGCGATTCGCGGATGTGGCCCTATGCTGTCCCGGAGGTCAAAGGTTCCTCGCGCATCGCCTGGTCCTGTCGGCCGCGAGCCCTTACTTACAGGTCGGTGTATTCGGCCTCGCGGCCGAAATGTTTTCCCACGAGGAAAAATATTAACGACTCTCCCCCTCTCTCTCTCTCTCTCTCTCTCTCTCTCTCTCTCTCTCTCTCTCTCTCTCTCTCTCTACTTATTTATGTCTCGGAAACCGGCGTTCTTAACTTGATTCTCGGTTAACTGCTTTCTTCTCCAAAGTTGCCTAGTTACTTTAAAACGATAAATTGGTAACCAAACAGGACATATCGCTTGATCAAGTCGTGGATAGATTTCAACGGAGATAGTAATTATCGATTTTCTCTTTCTTAAACGCTTGTGGATGAAGCCGACAAGTGACTGGCCATTAACTGCAGCAAAATCGAGTTATAATCAATGAGAACGAATAAAAATGCAAAATTACATGTATTGTATTACTAGAATAATTCTCTAAATAAAAAAATCCTCTCCCCGTGAAATATCTCACACACAACAACAGCAAAAAAAAATATATATAGCTTAAAAATAAATTTCTAGAGAAAGGATAACGGAAATTGTACTCATGGACTCAGTCCAGAGCAAACACCTGGATCTGTACGTGACTTGTTAAAAGTTATATACCATATATTCCTTTTACGTCTATTTTACAAGTAATTACTAAGTACACTCGTTGCGACTGAAAAGAGGCTTCCGGTCTTATCTTCGCCCATATGTGTTAAAAAGAAAAGAAAAGAAATAGCTCGTCTCGCGTGTTCAAATGGCGTGTTAGTTACTGAATAACAGAGCAAGCGATTAATCTCGTTAAACTCGAAGCACATTTCTCGAGACGGACGTCTCTCGTCTCCTCCATTGCGTCGCGTAACCGTTGTGTGTGTGTGTGCGTGCGCGCGCGTGCGTGCAAAACCGATTGTATGCGCGCTGACGAGCGTTTAATACCGCCGAATTATGTCACACGGAAATAAAGATAATGCGATATCGCAAACTGCAGTGGCGCGAGCGCGAGCGCGAGCGCGAATGCGAGCGCGAATGCGAGGTTTTCTTGAAACCGACGTGTTGGCGTTACGATGCATGTTGCGCTCCCGCGACCTCGCCGAACGAGGAGTTGCGCGATCGTTAAACTGCGTTACGCCACCGGAGATTGGAACACGAGCGCAAAATTAACAAGACGAGGCTGTGTGCGGCGCGACATCGAGGATTAACGTGCGGTAGGGTGTCCTACGATATCGCGGCGCGCTCTTCGAGGCCGACTCTCCCCTCCGAGAGATTCGACTCGAAATCGTGTCAATGGAAAACACGTTTCGTTTCATTTTTTTTTTCACGACTCTCGTCTGCGTTTCGATTACACCGGCGTATACGACAGCTGTAAAATTGAGGGCTCAAAATGGATAGGGACTGATTTTGATTTTCTCGAATTCTGTCGAAAAGAGCCTTCTCGAGTGAACCTTCTTCGGATCTACTTCTGGAAGAAAGATTTATCTCGCTATCTTCGACAGCTCCGAGGAAGAATCTCGCGCGACACTCGATCGATCTTCCCCGACACCTGAGTCGTCGACGCGCATTCTTCAACTTTCGAGCGATCTTCCGTCGCGTTTTTGCGAAATAATAAATAAAATATTTACGAAGCGCGGTTTTGCGTGAACGGAATGTCTCGGCACAGCCGTGGAAAAACCGTGGAGACAAATTCCGATGTACTCAGGCAATTACAAATTAATGTCGCGTGAGCGACGTGAAAATTGTCAGTTATGTGCGTCGCTTCACGTGATTCGCGTGACACGAATTACACTTTCTAATCTGCGCCAAGTAGAATGTCGAAAAGAAACATTTCTCGTGTTTCAACAGCGAAACTCAAAGTCGTATACATCCGCAACTCGCGCACTCGCTCTCGATTGCTTTTTTCTCTTTTCTCCCGTGATGCTCTCCTTCGTCAAAATTCAGTGCATCTCGCTCGGTCAAGCGCAAACCGGATTGGAACATGAGCGCAAAATTGATCGCAAACTTTTTTTTCACGCGCGCGTCGTATTTTCAAATAGCGTCGCGGCACGGATCGCTTTGGCCGGAAACAGAAGAAAACGACATTACCATCGTGTGTCGCGTTAGCGCGACGTCTCTGGTTCTTCGCCGCCGTTCTAAGGTCGCGGAAAAAGCGGTCTACGCCGCAAAAGGTTCTCCTTCTCGCTACGACAAATACGGTAACCCTGACTTCGATTGCCGGCGGGATTCGCAGATCTTCGATCTTCGGCGCGGTCAAGTCGCGATTCGCGCGCATCGCGCATTCCTGCGCATACCAGCCGACCCTTTTGCGGCCGTTGAAAAGCACACGTATCGCGCGCGATGCATCGTTTCAGTACTCCCATTCGCAGCTTTCCGACGCGTATTCCCGGCTTCCTCGACAACTCGATTTATCACCATCTGACCCAGTGCACCCAGGCTTCTTCGAGATTCTACATTTTTCTCGATTCTCTTTGCGCGTTCCAACGAGAAAGCGAGAAAAAGGAAATAATCGAATTCCGCACGCGGCGCGTTTTAAAAGCGCGATTGCGCGAAACTGCTGTGCGCGAGCGAAAATCAAAAAGGGGATGCTGCGGGACGCGAGACTCGCCGCAAATCCGCTTCGAATTAGAGATTCGAGCAAGTTTTGCTGCCAGTGTTTTTACCAACCAATTAAAGGGGCTGCTATACCACGTGACTTAATTAGCCATTGATGGAGAGAGAGAGTTATAAAGAGAGAAAGAACCGATATCTGATTTTGTTTTGTTTCAATAATAATTCGCTATCTGATGATATTTCACGCACGGTTAAAGCGATTCGCGTCGAACAGAAATTCAGAAAAAAGTGCGAGGAAACGAACGAGGAGACTGACTGAAATATCGTCAAACAGCGCGTAATTTACAGCGCCGATGGCGGCACAATGCAGGTGCTGCTTTAATTAGCGCGAGTGACTTGATTAATCGCGCGCTCGCAACTGATTGATTGTATTTAAATATCGTACACGCGCGGGCGCGCACACACACGGTGTGTGCGGTCTTTGAAAATATAGATCGCCGACGATCACGTACACCATCGATAAAAATCGGAGTCTTTCCGCAACGCGCAGTCGCTCTCATTTGAAAAGCGCGCGATGAGATAACAACGGAAAAGATAAAAAATTGCACATCTCTCGTCATTAATTAATCGCGATACCAGAAATATCGCAAAGTCGCAGAAAGAGTCCCGAGTGTCGAACGGTCTCGCCTTCCTTTGCGAAATAGGTTGCGCGATTTGTGAGCTCGATTGCGCCACCGGTTCCTTACATCTCGCTTTTTTCATCTCGATAAGCGTGGAAAATCACACGTGGTCTAATTAGCGCGAATGATACAATTAGACACGCGTGTGTTGATCTCCGTATATACCCCCGGCCGGTGAGAAAGTATATCGTCACGATGAGGAGGCGTATCTTGTGATACGCATTGCGTTTCTTCTTACGCGCAGGATTTTACGTGGAAATATAACGGATATATATTTCACGTCGTTCCAGATAGCAGAGAGATAGTTAAATGGGCAGCTTGTGACTTGAAACAAATACGGTAAAGTGGAGGTTTACACACGACGCGTAGTTGTAGTTGGAAATTTTACACCGATAATTTATTGGCCCCCAATAAAAACGGAATATTTAAGAGCCCAATTGAAGTTGGAGCCCTAAATATTCGGAATTCGGAGATGTATTGTGGTTTAACACACGTACACTGCTCGTTTGCCCCTTCGTGGTACTTTATTTTATGGCTTCTCGTGCTCTAAAATTTACAGCGTTGTGTATACTTTTGATTAATCAGCGGCGCGAGCTGCCCCTCCCCCCCTCCTACATCCATACACTAATGTCGATAATGGACGGGCATTCCTTCCGTCTTATCGCTAACATTCGCGCATTGAACGAAGTTCCCTTCCTTCTTGCCGAATCCCCTTGCCGTTGAGGAAAGAAAACCAAAAGAAATCAATGTTATTCTGTGTTTTATTATAGAAGCACTGATTAAAATTACTCAAAAGAGAAAATATATCGTGCATTTTTTTATTTTTGCTCGTATGGAGAACATGCACCAAGCATGTGATTTCCGATTATAAACTACGAACGGTGCCGACCTAAATTTCGTGTATCTCCTTGTTCACGACAAGTTCGCAAAATGTCCGTTGAAAACAAAAACATCTTGCATAATAAATGACATACCTGGTACACATACGTCGTACCGCTGCCCGAATTCTCATCCCGCGTCCTGCGTCCTGCGTCCTGCGTCCTGCGTCCTGCTTCCTTGATCCAGCATCCTGCTCCCAGCTGCTCCGTCGTAGTCCTCCGGATACTCCGGTTAGTGTCGGTGGCACTAACACTTGCATCGACACTGTCACTGACACTAGCACTTGCACTCGCGTTAACATTCATGTGGATACGATTCGATCGAAGAAACGAGCGATATTGACTAGAATACATTTAAAGGCCGACGAGAGGAAGTAACTCAATGATACACATGTCGCGATATGTATGAGTCGCCCGTCGACTCGAGGCATAATAACGCGGACGTGGACGTATTTGCAAGTTGATTCCGTGAGCTTACCGATACAATCAACAAAAAAGGATACAAACTTCCATCGCCGATCACACACGGGCGACACACACGCGTAACGCCTCGACGACCGAGAAATCGCAATACATATACGCCTTCCAAATATTCCGCGACAAGTCCCGTGTTGAATTTGCTTCTTGTCGCCCGTCTGTTTAAACAGCGACTATTATTGCTATTGCATCGAACCAAAATTTAAATCTCCATCGGTACGCAGCGTTATTGGACGCGCTACCGCGCTGTCTTTGCTCCGTACACCTTCTTCCTTTAGCCTACTCTTGAGAATTTTCAGATCCTATCCTAAAACTGTCCAACTGAAATAGAAAGAAATAAAAAAAAATAAAATCGCTGAATACAAAAAGAAAATTATTAGAAACTCCGTAAATCTGTCCTGATTATTCATACAAAGTATAAAGTTACTTACCCGTATTAATTAGGACTCCATG